CGCAACCAGAGACATACAGTATCTACTGAAAAACATGTTTCAGTTTCTAAGGTGATTCCCCTGGTGTCCCTGCTCCTCAAAAGCACTGCAAATTCTGAACAGCAAGGTAGCAAGCTAGCTGCTGAGCTGTCAGCACAATGTCTTTGTCGTTTCAGGGCTGTAGAAACATTTTATGGTCTTGCTGTCAGCACCTACCTAGATATTAGATTTAAAAATCTGGCATTTCGTGACTCTTCAAATGTTGAGCCTGTAAAAGCTCGACTTGTCACTGAAATGAGTCAGACTTCAGCACCTTCAACATCTAGATTGAGCTCCAGTTCTGCACCAGCTCATGCAAATACCTCAGGCTCATCTACAGGGGCTGCTGCATGCCCACCTGAAGCAAAAGGTGGGATATGGACAGATTTTGATTCTCAAGTCCTTGCATCTCAGCAACAACGGACAACTGCCACTGATGTACTAATTGAAATGCGCAGATACACAGAAGAGAAGCCAATTCCTCGGGACGAGGATCCACTACTTTGGTGGAAAAACAATGCACCTAGATTCCCCTCTCTCAGCAGACTTGCCAAAAAACACCTGAGTGTGGTTGCAACATCAGTGCCAGCTGAGAGGATTTTTTCAAAGGCAGGGCAGTTGATAAGTCACAGGCGATGTGCAATTAAAGCAAAAAATGTGAATATGATACTGTTTCTAAACAAAAACCTCTAATCAACATCACTGTTCTGCACAGGGGGACAGTTCCCCCGGGGGGGGGGGTCTTTTTAGCCTTTTTTTTTTGGCTAAGGCTTTAGGAGTTGTGTATTTTTATACTTAATTTATTGTAGTATTATTATTTATTAACTGTTTGTTTAAATTACCTTTTCAAAGCCAGAAAATATGTGCAATGTAGGGAAGACATTTTGTTTTATTTTATTTTTGTATTATACTTGAAAAAAGAGAATTTGTTCTTTGTTTTATAAGATTTGTTTTGGAGTGATTGTTTTGTCGACTTTGTTTATTTAGGAGTATTCTAAGAAAGAAGTTTTAATATTTTCGAAAGATAATTTTGTGCACTTTGTGGAAGACAAAAAGTCTGTTCTTTTGTTATTGAACAAAAATTTGTTTTATGTTAATAAAGTTCTTTCTATCTACTGTTGAACTTTGTCTAGGTTTTATTAAATTAATAATACAATTTAAAACAAAACACAAAACACCTGAAAGTCATGAAAATGTATTTATATTTGGTAATGCATTAACTGTCAAAAAGTGCCGGTATTGATATCAATATCGATATCGGCGATACTGGTCCAGTATTTACTTGGTATCGGGTCGACACCAAAGCTTGCAGTATCGCCCACCACTAGTATCTACTCCATTGCAGGAGGGGTGATTCTGTTCTCTGTTCCCTAACTACCAGATTACCTATTTAACTACTCTGTTCAGAATAATTGTAATATTAAATGATTATTTAAATTGG